GCCTACGTGTGAACATAACATGTGTGAGAATTTAGGTACGAGTTCAAGGCATAGCGACCATTACGAATGATAAATTTATTTATCATATAATGGGTAGGTTTCTCGGCAGGATAAAGCCAACGGATAAAAACGATATCCGTTGGGGTCATATGCGGATAGAGATGCAAGTATCAAAGGTCAAGTAGGGACTCCTTCACTGTTTATAAACAAACATGGCGTCGCCCTCATCATTCGGCGATCGAGTCAGAATTAACCATCGGGAATCTGGATAAACTACAGGGATAATTGCTATCATTATCAAAAGAACAGTCTAATATACTGAAATCAGTCTCTAACTGTGACGTAGCTAAGGCATTTTATGAGTTTGGGCAACTTTAGAGATATAAATTTCGAAACAATTTTGCGTGGGCACGAGGCCTAGCCAAGCGGGATCAGTAGCCATATCTGTGCTTATAGACCTCTGCGGCTTGAAACCTTCTCCACAAATTAAAATAGTTGGATTTGTCCGAAATGTGTTTGAATTGTTACCTTGTTTCGTTTTGTCGCTGTGTGTACATCTGACTACACTTCTTAACGTTATGACAGGACAGACCGACTGTCAACAACGACTGACCGTGGCCGTGACGTCTCATAGACTAAGGTTAGAGTAGCTTCCCTTTGACAAAGGGCAGTTACTCTAGCGGACAGACAGATTGATTGCCGCGAAAGGCAATTAAAAACAATTGTTGTTTTGCGTATATGTTGCTTCGCCACTGTATAAGAAACAGATTTCAGTTGGAACTATATTGGCTACTGTCACTGTCCGACTGACACATCACTTACCCTGTGACGTAATAAATATTAATGCGCGCATTCCAGAAAAAACTCGCAATGTTTCGGTTATGTATGTGAGAGAGGGAAAGCGATTTTGAAGCACAGAATTAAAGAATGACATTATATGATAAAGAGGTTATCACGCTTGTGTGTTTGGGGATGGTAAATATCCTGTATTAGGAATAAACACTATGTATTTAGCTCGCCAAGGCTCGCTAAATACAATGTTTATTCCTAATGCAGGATATTTACCATCCCCAAACACACTCGCGTGATAACCTCTATGTATTACTTGTATGATGACTGATTCACTCAACTATTGTTATGAATAGGACTCTTACAGACTGTAGATGTTATACATAACACTTTAAATATGATTTCTTTTTTAATATACACAAAAAATGAATGATGGAATATTCCGCAAATGAAACATACATGAATGAGTATCAAGTCTGACTGACTTAAGTCACAACAAACGTTCACACAGAGTGATGACGTCAGTTCCTGTTATGAGGTGAGGATGGGTGAAATTGGGTTCAACGTCCAAGATTATTGCACTTATATAGCGACGTGCATGCACGTGTGTGGCTGCTTGTACTAGTCCGGACTGATTTATAGTGCTAGCACACTGAGATGCCATGCCGCAGTTGAACATGAATACCCAATTTAGACACAGTATACTGACTCCGAGCCGACCAGTCCTTGTTTTAGCCCCTTAATGTCGAGCGCCAGACAGGGTAACAACAAGTACCATCTTTTAACTTCTTTTGGTATGACGCGGCCGGGGATCGAACCCCGGACCTTCCGCTCTCCGGGGAGGCGCTCTACCACTAGACCACGGAGGCGGTGTTGTTATAAAGCAATAACGTATAATGATTTTGAACATAAATGACCAGGACCCCCTTAAAGTGATCTTATTTTTTTGCATGGAGAATCTTACAGCGAATTTTGACCCCAGGGTAACAACAAGTACCATCTTTTAACGTCTTTTGGTATGACGCGGCCGGAGTACCTGTTATGAACACCATTAGCCTGTCTCACAGATCTGTAACACCTACCTACCTGAATGCGTCGCGGAATTCTATCCTGTGATATTCTTGCCCATTCATCCTACAGTGCCTGGCGGAGTTGCAGTTGACCTTGTCCGTCACGGCGATCGAATTCATCCAATAGATGCTCAATTGGGTTTAAATCGGGCGATCTTGATGGCCATGGAAGCAGATAAATGTTCTGATTCTGTAAAATTGAACCGAATGAACCTGTCCTGAACTGCAGTTGTGTTTAACTACTCGATTCCGCTATTCTTATGTGGCAGTAGATTGTAAGTGACTCTATTGCTCATGATTGTTAGCGGCAGCAGATTGAAGTGCTCGTAAAATGTGAAGTTCCGTTGTTTCTAAAAATATATATTGACAGTATCAGACAACCAGAGAGTTATCCGCCTTTGTGTACCGACACTGTGATAAACTACATTGCTCGAAGCTTTTCCTGAGGTTACGGTTTCTAGAAGACTGGCCCGAGGGTGATTCGGGGCCCACCGCAATCAGAATTACGACTTATCCACTAACAGGATACCTATTTGAAAGCGTCGATTGTTCTCCCTGCTTCCAAAACTGTTTCCTGGAAGAGCGCAGCGCGTGCCTCACTCAAGACTGTGACACCTTCTGGACATGTTCGTGAGTGCACTGACACTTAAAAGGGTCTGTTATTTATTGTTTCTGCCACGTGTTTTACGCATAGAGTTGCTTTTTTCGATTGTATACCAAATCCTGTGTGTTTCAATATAATGTGTTAATTATTCATTAATCGTGTGTAGTTATTTACTGATTTCCCAATTTAGCTATGTGCGATCTTATTCCTGTGTTAACCTCGGCCTTTCACTTTGGAAATCATCTTGTAATAACGTCCCCAAATCATACGATGTGGAACTGTGATGATGAACTTGACACAACATATCGCCATTAGATTCCATGACTTCCCTTGTAATTTGTGTGTCGATGTTAAAAAACAACATTTCATGCTTAAACATACATGTTTCTCTTTACGAGACAATGACGGAATCATGTAAGCGAAAGGACGAGGTAAAGTAAGGACCTTTTTTGAAAACCGAAAACATCATAAAGAAAGAAAAATTACTTCTAATTTTGAAATATTGTTATGAAAGTTATCAGACATGTTTAAAGGACTGACAACTCACCTTATATCTTTCTTATACTTGCAAGTTGTGGACGTATGACATAACTGAATATATAAGTATCGCTGAAGTGCGCGAAAAGGAGACAGTCTAAATCTAGTCCATGACACTAGATCTTGTACCATATGTTTGTACTAATTATATCTCCAACTCCCAAGAAAGTGAGCTTGCCATTGGGTAAAAAACTTGATTCAAATATTTTTAGCCTTACCTATGTCTTTAGTGATAGAATGAAAAAAGTCAATTTCTCATTCATATGAACTCATCTGATACCTTCCATAATGATGTCTAAAAGGTTTTTCTAAGTATTATATTATGCAGATCCCATGGGCAAAAAAGTCATTATCCTACTTTGTCCTTTGCAGAAACCACGATGTATGAAAGTCAAATTTCAAATATCTTTAAAAAAAACAACCATCAAACGTCAATTCCCCCATCCCTGAACCCCAGCACCATACCAGTGCTCGTGGGTTACACCAATTTGGTATTTGGGCGATTTGTGTCATTTTGGTTTTCCTTCCACAGAAAGCTGACACGCCGTGAAAACCTTGAAATAGCGTTTTACTCATTCGCTTCGCAAATCGGACTGCACATGCCAATTCCCGACTCGGGTCGATGGCAGAGTTTCTATGGTGACGTGTTCCCGTCATCGGGGTCCTAATCACAATAACACGATCATGGTTCCGTTTGAATCGATGCGCTCCTGTACACGGTGTGAGTAATTATGAAAGTTTACAACAGAACAAAAAATATCAAATGCATTTTAACACACACAAAAAATCATTTTCAAGATTCTAAAATTGTTCAGAATATCATTGAATCCTGGCATACAGAATTGTATAGCAAACAATAGCTAGAACTGTCAGCTCTTATCGTACTTTCTTTTCACCATAATCAATAAGTGGGTTGCTTTCTTCTGCAAATTTAATCCACGTCAAGCTAGCCTCGTAATGAAACACATTGATATGTCAAACGAACTGATGATGGCTTGATGTACTAATAAACACGTATTGAGTTTTAGTGAAGGTTGAATTCGGTGGCAAATATATGAATGACGTAAAAGGTAATAATCAGCCTATTACATGGCATTGATGGATGTTTCGAATTTGCGATGCCATTTTGTTTATTAGAAAATGAAAAGGTATGAGAGCGCCAAAGTCCAAGAACACGATATCGACAATAACATAATAGCTAAATGATAAAAAATGTCAACATTCGACAAAAGATGGAAATACCCATTCACTGGTAGGGTATAAGAGGATTATCATATATACCGTTTCTGGATGACATAATTGATGTAATATTTTGTCTTTATGATATATCCAGAAGGAACAATTGTTCCGTGGGGAAAAGCCTTGCCAAGACACTGTAGCTCACCTGTATGGTTAGCTGTCAGCTTTGACGTTCATATATAATCGAAATGAATACCGGCGACTAAAAACTAACACTAAATTCAACAGATGTTGAACATAAATGAGGTTATCAAAAGAAGAATCATACAAATTCAGATTTCTCGGGAGCTGTTTACAGATTCAAACATTGATTTAAAAGAATGTAAGAGCATTGTCAAAAACACAAGGTCAAACATTGAAATACAGCGAAACGGATAAGAGTATCACTACTGACTACTACACACACGTCAAATTTTCTTGTTAATTTACATTAAATCATCCATGGTCTAAGTGTTACGATGTGAAACAGGCTGTTTGCCCTTGCGTTGTGTGCTTACTTCATGGGTCTGACTTCGTTCCTGATATCGTTGCAATAAAGTTGTTAAATGAATATGCAGCTGCTGGAGGTTCGTCAGCAGCTGGCCTGTATGTTGCCGGGCTATTTCCTTCTTGTTATTGGTCCAGATCCAGGTAGGACAAATTACATCACAACAAACGTGAAAAGTTTCAATTTGAATTGGCATTTATTTATGAAAACTGTAGCAATACAAATTAATGACGTTCACCTTTTCGCGAACACCTGGTATCAACACTATTGGATATCGATTCCTAAACACATGCTCGTGATATTGTCGGAATCGAATAATCGATTCTGCGTTAAGCAGAGATTTCTGATGAATGTGAAAAGACTTCGAACACATTCAAAACGCTTATATTCATGCATGTGTGCATAGGCTTTTTAAAGATGAGTTTAACCAACAGATGTTATTTTCTTGATTTGCATTTCTACCATGCTGTTGGATAGCATCTGTGAACTAAGTAAACCATTGAGTAGCTTATGAAATAAAATCAGCCTTTGTGTTACGAAATCGTGGCAGTCTATAGAACATTAACTCAAAAACTAATGCAAGTAAAGATAGTCCAACGAATGCGCCAACGACGACGATACATCCAAGTAAATCTGTAATTACTATTGCCTTGACCGTGTCGCCATGTATGCAAGTCTTGTTATTTTGGCCTGGGAACCGGTCCCGACTGTTGATGATGTTCTGTATAATTCCTGCCTGGACAAGGAATGACATGCTGAAAGAACAACAAAACATCCTCAAGAGTGAGTGACTGTGTGAGTTTGGTTTAACGCCGCTTTTAACAGGTTAACCCACAATCATAGGTTTCTGGGCAGTCTGAGGGACGCTAATCTGCACAGCGAATTGCGGCGCCTTAGACGACAGGGCCACCCGTGCCCCCACATCCTGAAGAACATGATTTGAAAACACTATTGATGCAACCAGGTCACTCTCTATCTTAACTTTGAATAAAACATTGAATATGATTGACCATTAGGAGATGGTTGTTATATCGAAGCGACATAGTCTCATCATTATCATTCCAAGATATATTCCCGTTAAGATCCGGTTTAGAATTGATCTTCGATCAGCAACATAATTTTTTATGCTTGTCGTAAGTGGAGACATATAAATTGTAAAATATACATTTACGGGGTCGGTTGGTCAGGTTCGGTATCCCGATTGCTTAGAACGATGCTCATGATGTCAATCATTGGATTATTTCGTCCAGCCTCGCTAATATACAGAATGCTGTCATATAACTGGAATAGTTTTGATTGTGGCATTATACACAACCAACAAACATTCCAAAATGAAAATTTTCAAAGAAAGTTATGTCCATTTGGACAACTTCGTGTAGCCCTTATTTGATACCTACAGCTTATTAAATTCTATTCCATATGTCACAATGATAAGGTTTCCCTGTTTTAAATGAAGGTTAAGCTGTAATATACACTTCCAATGGTTTTCCTAGTAACGCTTTTATTATGTGTGCTTATTATGAATTTCTATTTCTATGGAGGTGATATAACGGACAGAGACTGAATGAGTATGAATCCACACATTGTTTGTGTGCTTTTGTTGCTTAACGAATTTCTCAGCAATATTCCAACAAAATGACACCACCTGTACTCAATCAGGTCTAGAAAGGATAAACCAGTTACTGATATAATGAACAACACCCTTCGATGTTGCGGTTACGATGACACTCAGTCAACCTAGTCGTCGAGTCTGACCACCGATCCTCTAAGTCGCCTCGTACGACAAACATATACATTGACGGGGATGACTTTTAACCATGAATTCATACGAAGGTCACAGACAATATGTATCATGGATAATAATGGTGAGTGAGTGAGTTGGGTTGAACGCCGCTTTTAACAGTATTCCGTTCATATCACCGCGTGCCAGCTTAATGTGGGAGGAAAGCCCGAAGTGATGCAGATCTCAGACGTTTACCACTTCGGTGAAACCCGCGAGCACGGGTATGGCGCTGACAAACCTAGAAACATAATCGGGGCTAACCGGGATTCGAACCCACAATCATAGGTTTCTGGCGCGCCCAAGGGACGCAACTCTGCACAGCGAATCTTGGCGCCTTATGCGACTGGGCCACCTGTGCCCCCGGGTATTAATGGAAAATATATATATATATAATGGTATGATGATGATACTAACACATGCTCCAGATCATGTTTCAATGGCGACTGCAAGGGTACGCCGAATGCGCTCTGTTGCCAGCTGACTTTTTCTTCAAGAGATGCTAGTCTGCAGTCCTCCTGTTTGTATATCCGAATTTGGCTAGTATACATAAAGACGGCGTGTTTGCCTGTCTCAGCTTTTCTTGCATGTGCATCGTAATCAGTGGACATTATGAAAGGGTTTGTTTCATTTTCTTTCTTCATTCTTGTCCAGGCTTTTCGTACATCCTCTCTGGGCGAGGTCTTTAAATATAAACATATCAAAGTACACTGTACACATGTAGGGAATCGAACCCGGACCTTCGGCTTCGTGACGGAACATGTCAACCACAAGGCTACCACACCATACATTGTCACTGTTGAATATATGTCGAGTTATCAGCAGTTCGACACAATCGAACAATATATCAAGACAATGGGAGTTGGAGTTAACGATGTTTTACGTTACAAATAATATTTAATATAAAATAAACATAGAGTCGTATCTTACCAATACACCGATTGATAAACGCCGTGTATACAGTATATATGTAATATGCATCTGTGCAACCGAAAACGATATGACTGAATCTCGATCAGGGTATGATCATCAGAGAATCTGGCAATATATATATTAAATAGCCTAAAAGACATATGACCTTATAATTTTATATATCCCAATATCTTACCTTAAATAGTTCATAATTCACACCCTCGATGGGCATTCCCAGAGTGTAGTCCTCCCTCTCTACCAGTTCCATTAGGTTTGCAAATGGTGGCTTCTGTCTCTTGACTGATATTGCTGCTACGAAGTTAGCCGAATAGATCGAGACAATGACAACCAAGAACAACAACCAGAACCCAAGAAGCAGTTTACTTCCGTAGGACGTCGGCGCCTGTCTCTTCTCACAATCTGGCTTGTCTGTCACGAAAACATAAACCAAACTTTATTATGATAAAATATAAAACAAAAAGTGATAAAACTATTTTAATATGAGGTATGATAAATCTGTTCTTTAATATTTGAAATAATCCAGATAATGTCCAGACTGAATGATTTAGCATGAATCAGCAAGGACGCGGCGCAGTGACGAACAAAAATATATGATATATATATCCCAATATCTGGGGTATGTTTGTGACGTACTTTATCATGCTCTTAGAGAGTATTATCCTATTTTTATATTTTAAAGTCGGAATTAGGGTGTCTCGCCTTTATAAAGTTAGGTGGCGCCTTCAAGTTTTGATATTCGTGTTCGCATTATTTGCGGGATGCATATAATTTCATGATTTACAGTACGTTTTCCTTGTGTTTTAGTCCAACCATACTATAATTAAGTTTTGTCTCAATTACACAATTTATGGTTTCTTTTTAATAACGCATAAACCTTACCTTGCTTCAGTATAGTTGAGATTGTGAACCACAGCATTTCATACCAATAACGACAGTTCGATATTTCAAATTTAGATCCACTTTGAGTAAGTCTGTAGAGAATTGAAAACAGTATTCCACATGCAAAGATAAGGAGAAATACTTCAAGCTTAAATGGTTTAGCCAGGAGCAGCCACTGATCGACATCGTCGTCAACCTTCTTGTACATCACTTCAACGTAGCTATACATTATTGGAGGCATGATGAAGTCCATGACAGCAGTTCTGTCTTCGTGGACACTTAAGTCGGCTGCTACAAAGTCAACATCCTGAAGTGTATAGATGTAAAGCATATAATATAAGACGACATACAAATAAAAACTGAAGTTATGAACAAAAACCGTTAAAGTGTATTGTTAGATTCCTTACAGTGGAACAAATCAATAATATTATTCCCAATACAAAAACATAAATAAGATCACATGAAGTTACATGTGACACATTTTAATTGCATTTACAATTACTAGGAGGAGGATTATTGTCAAAAATTACGTGCAAGGATTGCAAAACAAATATCCCCCAAACTGTGTTTAAATTGATGTTTCATCTTAACCGATAACATGTTATGTTTGTGTCTTTTGAGTGTTATTATTAAAGTAGGACATGTCAGGCATACTCTTATTTGCAGTTGACCTATCATACCGTCCCATGGCCCTTTTATCTGATGACGTCAACTTACCAGAAGTAAATTTTCCTTTATGTCGAGCAATATTTAAACAGCTCCAGCCTTTGGTACCTACATTTCACAACTTTTGAAGTAGTACAATCAGGCATGCTGCGAAGACTTCAAAGGGCGTCACACGTATCAAACGTTGTTTGATCAGGGTTACAACATTCAAGACCTTTGTAAAGCTTTCAAAGTGACCAAAACGATGTCGGATGCAATTCATATGTTTTACTTGTACCACGCTCTCCCGTGTTTGTTCAGGTGAAGACTTGACTTGCCTTTGCATGTGTTGTTACGTCATAACCGGTGGCGTAGAATGTGGTAACCTGGTATCCATATGTTTCTGATAGTCACTTTAGTTAGGAGTTTCAGTACAGCTTATTGGGAATATTAATAGTTAGTGAGTGAGTATGGTTTTACGCCGCTTTTAGCACTATTCCAGCAATATCACGGCGTGGACACCGGAAAATGGGCTTCACACATTGTACCCATGTGGGGAATCGAACCCGGATCTTCGGCGTGACGAGCCAACGCTTTAACCTCTATACTACCCCACCGCCCTGGGAATATTAATAATAGACAGAACAATTTTCATAACAATGACAGCAATGTTTACATTCCATAGCGCAGTTAGGGCAATAATTACCCCGGGTTCGAATCCCGGACGGGACTCAACCCCAAAAAAGTACTAGAATCTGTACTTTACTAAGAAAGTGTTATCCCAAATATAACATTAGTTACATTTGACCACTTTCTAAATGGCATTGTGTATTCATATTAATAATTACCCCAGTTTTACTTTATTCATCAGTGTACTCTCAATTTCTGGAGGGCAGATATGAAAGATAGCATAATCGACCTACTCTTCTCTGTAGTTGTCCTACCATGCCGTCCCATAACCCATCGACCTCAACGCCCCATTGCTTGTCAGCTGGGGGTCTGATGACGTAGCTGAAAGATTATGGGCAAGTTACGTTTTCAGCAATAAACTTGGGAATTTTCATGGACCGTTTATCTGAACAAGTAATCACCGAAAATGCTCATTTCCACTTTTTCTTGCTTAAATTTTTTCCCAGATTGGTCATTACAAGCGTAAAGTTCATTTGTGTCACCTACCTGAAATTTAGTGTCTTTGCCAAAGTTTGAAGAATGTCGGATATAGGTCCGGAAATGGAAACCCTTGTCCCCACTACTTCCATCTCCAGATTTCCTAGAGACTACAAGGATATCCATTAGTATATGAACAGAAGGAAAGATTTGGTTGAAAGGGTGTCTATAAATTAAAAATAAATATATACAAAAGGGGAAACCGATCCAGAAAGTGAGTGAAAGCTATTTCGCCGCAGCACATTGTATCCACCCGATTTTCACGGGGATCTACGCTATCAATCCTAGTAAATTGATTAATACTTATCATACATAATCGTTTTGCACAGCCCAAGCAAACGATAGGCTTACCGGTAAGGTTGAAACAACCAATGTTCTGTTGTTGTATCCATATTTCATGTTGGGAAACAGACTCGTCTCTGTGTATGACAGAGTTGATACATCTAGGAATCTGTGTTCTCCCATGGTGTTATGAATCGTGTATACATAAACCCGTTCACATCTTGAATCCTTAAATGTCAAGCAGCATACACGAAGTAATTGTAAATATCACATCAATCAATCAATCTTAATTCAAGCACTTAAGAGGTCCCAGGCCTATAGTACATGTGACAGCGATGTTGCACACAATTTTAACTATATTAACAAATTTGGTTCTATATAACAGTGCGTAGGATATATAATTGTAAATATGAGAAGTTATTCCCTTGACACCACGAATTACATACGCAAGGATGATGTTACATAATCATGCCACACGCATGGGCAGGTTTGCATTGTAAACATATGTGCAGTGTACCCAATGTCAGATTTGATATTGCCTTATGTGAAATGTAAAGAACATGACTTAAACTATTTAAATGTACCGTTACACCACAGACGGAAACCAATGCCATGCAACTTCATTGTGTAATTTCAATATACATTGATATGCCATTAAGACCCATGATGTCAATAATGGCGCATAGCAACCCTGTATGTACATATTCCATATTGCTTTTATGTGTAAACAAAACGGTAGACATGGATACTGATAGACTTAAGCCTTTCTGGTTTTACTTTAAGTCATATTCACGAATAATGTTATGTATAAAAAAATACCCTATATCAATACTGGATTAGTATATTATGGTTAGACATGTTATAAAATTGCCAGCCTTGCCTTAAACTGAAAGAATGCCACATTCTCGAGATAATCAGACGGGTTAAAGGTGTCAATCCTAGTATCCTTGTGACCAAGAACAATCCACTTGGAGTGATGTCGAAAGTCTGTTGTTCTGTTGGACTTCAAATCGTAGCGTGCAGCCTTAAAAGAGTACCATGCGGTAAAATGAGCCACGAAAACATACATTGTTTGACAGATATATTGAAACTCGAGAAATCACGTTATAGACTTATTCCAAATACATCTGGGAGTCACGAAATCGATTTCTCTGTAAGATTCAAGTTTATTATTTGTTTTGAGCAAATATCCACTTACGCGCTATTTACATTTGAATAATTGAGACGGATACCTCGTCCAGGAATCTCCAGCATGTCCTCGAGTCGGCACAAAGAAGCACGGTGTTAATGCGTGGTTGAAGATTGTGGTAGATAACATACAAGACAGTTTGTATGCCAAGATTGATGAAGTCATAGATCAACGATGTTGTTTTCGGTAATGAGGACGTCAATGTTTTCGCAAGCGATCCCATTGCAGCTTGAAGGTATTAAATGATTGACCAGAAAACATTAATATGCCTATATAAAAGGGTTCCCCATATATACTCTACAAAAAAAAGAAACGCAAAGCCAAATTTGTCTGAGGATGGAAAATACATTTATACGAGGAGCCGTACAAGGTATTGAGCCAGAATGGTGTGGAGAGAACACTTGGGGATTGTAGTCATCTCAGTTATCGGTACATAGGAAAAGTCCAAGGTGAAGGTCAGCTACCATCAATAACGCGTATGTCCCCCGTTGGAATCGATAGCGGCCTGACATATCCTGCCCATGGAAGAGATGAGTATGCGAATCACATCCTGGGGAATGGTTGCCCACTCGGCCTACAACGCAAAAGCCAACTGCTGCAACGTCTGGGTTGTGGTTGACGTCGGCGTAGCCGTCTATCCAATTCACCCCAGAGGTGCTCTATCGGGTTCAAATCCGGGGATCTGGAGGGCCAGGGGAGAACATGAACGTTGTGGTTGTGTAGACGGGCTCTTGCGATCCGTGCTGTATGCGGTCGAGCGTTGTCCTGCTGGAATACACCGTTGCCGCTGGTTGCAATTGGGAGGACGTGTGGTAGGAGAATTTCGTTGATGTATCGTTGAGCCGTACGATTGCCCTGGATAGGGACCAAACGTGTCCTGCCATGATGAGAGATATCCTCCCTTATCATAACGCTACCCCCACCAAACCTGTCCACTTCCTTTCACATCCTTTCACGTTGGTGGCGCAGTTGGAGTGAGTGAGTATGGTTTTACGCCGCAATATCCAGCAATATACGGCTCAGAAATGGGCTTCACACATTATACCCATGTCGGGAATCGAACCCGGGTCCTCGGTGTGACGAGCGAACGCTTTAACTACTAGGCTACCCGACCGCCCCGGGGCAGTTGGATGTAGCGATCTTGGGCGGAGGGTGGTAACTCTTGGTCGTTCCGACCTTGGTCGGTCACGTGTTGACCCATGCTGTTGAAACCGATCCCATAGCCTTATGATGGTGCTGGGCGCTACATTGAAAACACTGGCTACAGCTGATCGGGATACCCCTGCCTGCAAGCGGCCTCTGACGTTTTTTCTTTGCACTTCTGTTAATCTTGGGATGTTGTTGAACTGTCACTGTTCGATTGACGCAGATGCCAGGCAATCAAAAACCCTGCACTTTAATATCGTTCATAGTGCTGCTGCACGACCACTACGTGCAGTTCCATGGCCCGTTTGTTAACGCAGTGGGTGCGTTTTCCGAATAGTACGTGTTTCCCGACTAATGGTTTGCATGTCCTTGTTGTGATCATTTTGATCCAGAAAATTTGTCACTGACACTTAAACACATTAAAACTCTTCATTGAGCCCTCTTGGTCCCCTGCTGTTGCTCTGATGGCCAAAAATATCCGTATTGCGTTTCTTTTTTTTTGAAGAGTATATTTATACAAATTTACAACAAATAACAACTGTAACATTATACATATGGTGCAATAACCCAGAACGATTTCAGTTGCGAAGAAGGTAGATGATTAAGGAGATTCTCATGTAGAAATGATAATGGAATTATACAAATTTTACAGATCAGATAGGTTGTTATACCCCTTCACAAGTTACGGACAGCAGGTGCTTCCTTTGACAATATCCACGGACATTACAAGAAGGTATATGGGGTATATATGTTCATTGGGATTCATATGTTATTTTCAAGGGGGGGGGGGGGGGGGGGGGGGGGGGGTGGTGAATCAAACACAATGACTCACCATACCTCTCTGATCTCTAAACAGATGCATAAAATTATTCGTTTTATATCATATCAGACAGAAGGTAATTAAGTCACTACTACACTTCTGCTATACCATGGAGACACTATGTAATACATATTTAAAGATCTGCTTTGTACTTTGTGATAGATAAATAAGAACATACCTGATTTCCCATCAAATATGACAGCCACAGAAGTCCATCTCATGTTTTCTATCCATTTCACCATTTCCTTTATAGGGTACGTGAGTTTAGCATGTACAGCATTGTCGCCATCGGTGATGTTTGGTTGGTAACCTTTAAAATATTGTTATATTCTTCTTCAAACTGATATTGTTAAGTGTACTGGCATTGTTCTTTTCTCTCTTATTCGCCTGTCTTCATAGTTCATCATGCCGTTCTGAATAAATGCAATTAACGCAATGTGCGTTGGGCCAAATCGTTCTTGGACATTTTCATTCAGGCTAATATTTACAGTTTCTCTTCATAATGTAACACTTACGATTTGAATAGCTGATATACATAAGGTCTTTGAAAGGCATATAGAAGGGATACACATAAGGAATAGAATATATGGCTGTCAACTTCTTTATTATGATGAACACAACGTTTCGGAGTATATGCGTACTCCTTCATCAGGTGAATGAATGCCAAGAGCAGAGAGCATATATATGTACACGTAAGGACAACAAAATTAATAAGATAACAAACGGTGGAAAATAACAAAGGGTAGAAGCTAACAAACGAAGCCAACAGATGATTGGAGCTGATAGGTGATTAGCAATAGACAATCGAAGCCACCACATAGATAAATAATTGGTAATGGACACTGGGCAAAGGGGGGGGGGGGGGGGGGGGGTGTAATTAGCACTGATAGGTGAAAGAATGGACATAGCAGGGGGCAAATTGAAGCCAGCTAGGTGATTAGCCCCGACAAAGATCAAAGCAATAAGTACCAAGCACTAGGCTGTGATATACATTGTTCAAAGCCAATGGTTTATCAAATCATCATGTGATATTAAAAGTCATCGATCAATATCCACTGGATCTATTCTGATATAATTTCTGGCGTGTACTTAGAACATTGTACACGTTTTGAGTTTATACCCACGCTATGCCAATTATGATTTCAAATAACTTCATCTGTTGATAATATACATATTTTAACACGACATAGAAAGAGACATGCCTATTTTGTAGGGTACAGCATTTTCCTTTCCCATGTGAAGTTAGCAGACTATCGACTTTACACTGGGTAGTTTATACAGGTTAATTTCCCTTTTAGAAAAAGTGCCAATCCTTTTTCATAGTTTTCATTTCAAATGATACTCGACTTCGATCATGTGTAAGTATGTAGTATTTTAACACGATTGATAAGAGTGAGTGAGTGAGTGAATATGGTTTTACGCCGCTTTTAGCAATATCCCAGCAATATCACGGCGGGGGACACCAGAAATGGGCTCCACACATTGTACCCATGTCAGGAATGGAACCCGAGTCTTCGGCGTGACGAGCGAACGCTTTAACCACTAGGCTACCCGACCGCCCCCGATTGATAAGAAGACTTCCCATTTGGACATAATGAAAATAACGTACACGGTATATTGAATTATTTAAATTTATTTCTCTGAGTCCATTCACGTCAACTCAACCTTTTAAACCCGTATTCATGGTGAAATACGTCTTGATCAGCGCGTACATGTATATGTGTATAACCGGCTTGAACACGCCACCCGCTTTAACAGTGTAATCTAGACCTAAAAATAGATATGCATTGCACAATTGTAGAATACAACATGTACAGCTTAATGTACAATGGACACGCTATTGGCACCCAGACCATTTTTTCCACTTATCGTATATCAATTACAATTTCTTTACAATATACAGTAATTGTTAATGAAAATTGTGTGAGTATCGGGGGCTCCGGATAGAGTGGGGCATGCTTATTCTTTTCGCGAACACATGATGGCATCACTCAATTGCAATGCATACTTCATATGATTTACATCACTATCTTGCCTTATACGTCCTATGGGATGTATTTCGGCAGATATTCGAGACCGATTATTCTCTGGCGTTGACGTTTCGAATAAGAAACCTTTAAAAAGTATCTTACCTTAGGTAATGACATTTAACAATGTATAAAGTCGTAGTAGATCTTATATAAAATAAGGAACATCTTTCTTACAAATTCAACCTTAAGATTTCAATTGCATCTTGATTAAATAACAGAAGGGCATAGGAATATATGCATAAAGTCAGCGGAATTAGATATACTTAACTTACTTGTAGCGTCTGCGACAGCTAGGAAACACAGCCAAAGCACAGCGGCCATCTCTCCACTGATTCATTAACATTTCAAATCAGTATAGATTTCTGTAGAAACGTTATGCCAATAATGCATGGTGAAGGCTTTGTGTCTGGTGCTGGAAAGTGCAAATGATTACTGTTAATGTCGTATATTCGTGTGCATTGATTCTGAATGCATGGTCAGGACAAAGCATGTCGTGATCTGAATGTGGATTGGCCCAAACCCCTCAAACATTTGCCACACTGGCGCATTTGGTTGTCATTGCCACAGTTTGTCAGATATTTCACACGATTGTGGAAAGGCAGCAAAGCGTTGTTTATAGTTAGGATACAATGAATTAGTCATTGATGCGCTTTGTTACGGTCGAGCAAATTCGAATTTTCCAAATCCCATGCGTCAATTGCAAACTGTTCTACCATTAAACCGTTCACGCCACTATTTGGGATGGGTTCATTAGTTTTATGGGGTAACTGAGCGTTTGTTATGTGTGTATACAGTGCGTGAGTGAGTTAGTATGTATTATGCCGCTGTAAGCAATATTCCAACATATTTCAGCGGGGAGACACCAGAAATAGGCTTCACACATTGTACCCATGTAAGGAATCGAACATGGGTCTTCGACGAGTATCCAAGCCCTTCCCTACTGGTACGAGGGGCGTCCAATAAGTTTTGCAACTTCAATATAAGACCAAGCCGCAGAATATCTTTTGCACTTTTATTTTTCAATATATTCTCCATTCACCTCAATACACTCTTCCATTTATCCTTCAAGCTTTTAATACCACTTTTATAGAAATCCGCAGATTGGCCCTCTAATCACGCCTCTGTGACAGCCTTTATGTCCTCGTCATCCTGGAAGCGTCTTCCACGTAGGGCAGATTTCATTTCCCGGAACATGAAATAGTCACTGGGGGCTTAGTCTGG